GAAGTATGCTGAGCAAGACTGGAGAAAGAAGGAACACGTTGAAGCAGTTAATATGGCTGAAGGAATTATTCATGACACAGAAACCAAGATGGAAGAATTCAAGGACCAGTTACCTGCTAATAAGTGCCACAAGCTAAAGAAAGAGATTTCCAAAATAAGAGAACTCCTTGCTCAGAAGGACAGTGAAACGGGAGAAAACATTAGACAGGCAGCATCTTCACTTCAGCAGGCATCATTGAAACTCTTTCAAATGGCATATAAAAAGACGGCATCTGAACAGGAAGATTCTGGAAGTTCTGATACTGGGGAACAGAAGATCAGAAGGAAGAGAAACACTAACAGTGGCAATGCATTGAGAGGCCAGGACAACATGAAGCTTCGGAGTAACGGGGCGTCCTGAGCAGAAGAGGGTCAAGCTTCAGTCTTTTTACTGTGTTTTTGCAGTAACCCATATAATTTCCTTAATAAATATATGTAGTGACAAAAAACAAACTGAAAAACCTCTAAGAACTAGAAGAAGCAAAACCAGTTACTTCGTTATCACCTTAGCCTCCCAGCAACGGCACACGAGGCAGCACAGTGGTTTGTGGCTACCGGATTGTAACCACGTTTTCTCCAACTGACAAACACTCCATCTTAGAGTCATTCATTCTTATCAGAGTGGAAGGAAAGACAATCACAGCCTTTGGTTTTCTCATTAGGACACTTCCTCCTCCTCTATCAAGAATAACCCTAGGAAGCAAAGGCATCGAGAAGTTTCATATCTACAACAAAATGCAGACTCCTGGGGCAGAGAGAGCTCAGAAGTTACAAGCGTTTTCTGCTCTTGCAGAAGATTGAGTTTGGTTTCACAACTGGCTCTAATTCCAGCTGCAGGAGGATCAAATGCCTTTGGCCTCTATCGACATCTACACCAGTGTGCACATACCCACACAGGAACAGATACATACACGAACATAATTGAAAATAATAAAGTATGTCTTTAACAATGTATCAATTGTGTAATGCTGCAGAGATAGCTCCACAGCTTAGAGCACTTGCTGGGTGAACCCGAGGACCTGGGTTCAAATTCCCACCCACAGAGAAGCAGGGCAAGAACACACATCCCTGTAAGCCTAGGTCAGCCCAGCTGAAACACCTCAGCAGAGTATGCTTTATGAGGCAGAAACAAAGAATTCTCTTAGCTCTGAAAAGCCTTTAGTCCTGGGTTTATGCAGCCAATTTTAGTCAATAGCTGGGTTGGTCTGCAACCTGAGATCCAGGGTACCAAGATGTATACCATCATGCCTACACTCACCACCTGGGATCTTATGGTCACTGAAATTCTTTAATTATTTAAAAAAAAACAACCAAACAAACAAAAAAACAAAATCCAATCTTAAATAGCCAAGTCCTGTAAATTTTTCTTTACAAAACTTTTTAATGTTCCAATAGAAAATAAAATTCTTATTTATTTAACTAATTGATTTAAAGGCAGGATCAATTAGTTAAATTAAAATACTTTAGTTACAAGCACATGCCTTTTAGGATAAACAAGAACAATGTTTTCAGCAAGCTTTATAAGAACCCGTAAAGAAGTAATGCTGGCACTGGCCTGGAAGCTTCATCCGTTTGGCTTCATTCACAGTTCTAGAGGTTCTGTTTCCGCCACTGAACGAGAAAAATACTCAATAATCATAAATGGCTGTGGGGCCATGCGAACGCCAATCGAGCTCTGCTGAGACGTGCCCACAGGTGCAGGAGCTGCACAAATGTCGTGAGAGTGACCAACGACTTTCTGGTTGGACTTAAAGCTTGCTCTGGAAGCCTTGCCTGGTAGTGTTGGCTGGCCAGGTCTTAGGCCCCAGAGGGCAATCAATCCTACTACCCTGCTAGAAGGCTGTAGTGATAAACCGTCCCTGTGAGGTTCTCATCTTCACACCTGTACATTACTGCGTCTCTATGCTCATCAGAGAAGCTTCTTTGTGAATATATCGACATTAATCCAGAGATCCACAACTGCTCCAAACACAGAGAATAAGAGACTGTGAACTTGTCAGCTCTAAATGGGACATCTACATCATCTCCAACATCCGAAAGCCTTGGGGGTGACTGCAGAAGAGGGTAGAGGTGACGTCAGCAGCAAAGCATCATCTCTTGGACATGAGAGCTGCTGCACACAGGACCACAGGAGCCATGACTGCACACACAGGACCACAGGACCACAGCAGCCATGACT